AAAACCTTCACTCGACACAGTTTTGTTAGTTTATCCCGAGATGGATCTACCTGCTTCTTACTTTTTTTGCATGGCTTTCTTCATGCTAGCGTGCTTCGTAATAGTTTATCCCAATATTATGCGGGGTTCCGATTCGAGTATGCCTTTACTATCTGCTAAAAGGCTGCTGGTGCTTTGAGTAAGGCCCGAAGTCGGGAAAATCAATGAAGGATGGAGAACTAGTATGACAAGTTGTCGCTGGTTAGACTGCCATTACTCGACGATGCAGAGGCCTTCAATGCTCAAACCGATGAGAGCAGATTGTACTTCCGAATTTTTGGGAGACGTCACAAATTCCCCGCCGCTGAGAAATCCAACGCTCCCCTTTTGCCCGCATGTCTGCTTTGTCTTCTGATCGCCACCATGCCTTCCGTCTTCAAATCTTCTCTTCTCACTTCTCCAAGAACACACTCTCACGAATTTCTCATGTACATACCGTTTGCGTTATCCTCTCCTCTGCTTCGAGACCAAGAGATCACTTAGAGCATGAGCGCAATCCTATCCGCGGATGATCTGAATGATTTTATTACCCCAGGTGTCGCATGCATCAAACCAGTCGAAACTTTACCAAATCAAAGACCGGATGACTCGGCGGTATGTCCGCCATAAAACACACAAATCGGTGGGCAACAAGGCTGACGTTCAAGCTCCAGAATCCGTATGAAGTCACCACCGAGGACAAGGTCGATGCGTCGAAAGCTGCCCCAGCGCAAATAACCCTAACCGATTGCCTCGCCTGCTCTGGCTGTGTAACTTCTGCTGAAGCAGTCCTCGTGTCCTTACAATCGCAAACGGAAGTTCTGACCACACTTGACACTTATCCCCCTTTGTCTCTAGAAAACCAATTTGGAAATGGCGGCAGCAGTAAAGTCAACAGCAATAATGGCGCGACGGAGAGAAAGCTTTTTATCGCGAGCGTCAGTCCTCAAGTCAGAGCCAGTGTGGCAGCTACCTATGGAGTCAGTGAGCGTCAGGCAGGGAACATGATCGACCGACTGCTAAGCGGTTCCGAAGGTCTCAAATCCGGAGGAACATACGGGAGCGGGTTTCAATGGGTATTTGATACCAACACTACGCGGGAAGCTACACTTGTCCTCGCCGCCGAAGAGGTTAATGTGGCCACCTCTGAGTCTGAAACGCCTGCATCAAATGGTCATACGATAGCTGAGTCGTCCCTGTCGCCCAAAAAACCAATCTTAACATCAGCATGTCCTGGTTGGATCTGCTACGCTGAGAAGACGCACCCGCATATTCTACCTCACCTCTCACGACTAAAATCGCCTCAAGCTCTTATCGGCTCTCTACTCAAATCCGTCCTCAGCCAGCAATATGGAATACCACCAGATCGCATATGGCACTTAGCAGTGATGCCGTGCTTCGACAAGAAGCTGGAAGCCTCGCGCGCCGAACTCACAGACACCTCATGGCAGCCGAGTCTTTCCGACACAGAGGCCAGATCGCCCGTTCGCGACGTCGACTGCGTCATCACAGCCCGCGAACTCCTAATGCTCGCCGACGACCGCGGCATCTCCTTCCTCACCCTCTCCAAATCCCCCCTGCGGCCACGCGATCGACCCTCCTTCCCAGACCCCACTCTCAATGACTTCCTCTTCCCTCGCCGTCCCTGCAACCCCACCAACGGCGCCGTCGCAGAAGCGGGCTCCTCCGGCGGCTACCTCTGGCACATCCTGCACACCCAGCGCGCCCTGCACCACCCCTCCTCCCGCATCCAAATCCAGCGCGGTCGCAACGCCGACGTCGTCGAATACATGCTTGTGGACGATGCGGTCGATGAGGGGAAGGAGAAGGTCGTTTTCAAGGCGGCGCGCTACTACGGTTTCCGCAATATCCAGAATCTCGTGCGACGGCTGCGGCCGCCGAGGCCGTCGCGCATGCCTGGGGCACGGCCTGTGGGGATGGCGAGGAGGCCTGTAGGGAAGGCGGGGGAGGGGGCAAAGGAGGATTATGCGTATGTGGAGGTTATGGCGTGTCCGGGAGGTTGCACGAATGGTGGGGGTCAGATTAAGGTCAGTGATGTGGTGGGACTGCGGAAGGGGGTTGAGGGGGTGGAGAATGGAGGCGAGCAGGTTGTGAGTGCGGATCAGAAGGCGTGGTTGGCAAGGGTGGATGAGGCGTACTTCTCAGGGGCGAGCGGAAGCGAAGATGAGCAGGGTGAGGAGAATGAGGACGTGACGACGAATGGGCTGGGTGATGGCGTCATGGATGTTGATGATGATCCTATGGATGTGGTGAATGGCATTTCTCGGCGTTATATCATGAGTGTCCTGAGGCACTGGGAGCATCTCACTGGCGTGGGCCTAGACAGATTGGCGTTTACGAGCTATAGAGAGGTCGAGAGCGATGTAGGGAAGGACAAGATGAGCGAAACTGAAAGAGTGGCTGGCCTAGCGAGTGCTGTGGGCGGTGGCTGGTAGGCTTAATACTCTTGTGACTACAATCTCGGAGGGTGCAATAGCCAGCATTGGACTTATGTGGTCCAATTTCGCGCTGTCTATAAATCAACACAGTGTTAGAATATCAATTCCGCGGATACGATAGACTACTGTGAGTGTGATCAGGCTTTTCCAGCGCGTGCTTATATAAATGCTTGAAAGGTGTTGTTTCTTCCGACGCTTCGGAAGGCCAGAGATCCTTGGTACCGGATGCCCCGATACTTATTTGACGCCACTGGGATTACACGCCATCATGCTATATGTGTTGTAGAGCTTTGATCCAGAGATGAGCATTGTTCCGAACATCTTTGTTGTAGATACATGAGTCCCAATTTAGTGATTTTTCTACGTCGTACAACCTCTATCCCCTGCGTATTAGCACTGCTCCCTCTTTGATCCCATTCTGCAACATTAGAAGTCCCTAGGATTGTTATACATCCCCTTTTCCACATTACATGATGGCCGCACTGTTTCTCAAGTACCGAATTATAGAAGCTGTTTTCTATCTTACCCTCATCAACAATGCACTCGCGAACCTACCAGTTGGAGACGGCGTAAAGCCTCTCTTAACTAATCAAACCTCAGGCACTTTAAGTTCAGTCGATCATCCTTCACCCATTCAAACGCTATGTGCGCCCGACACTTGCGGCACTGAGTGTAGTAAATCTTTTCGTCCACCGTCTAGGAAATTTGGTCACTCTAAAATCCCTATTGAGGCTATAAGGGCAAACTCTACCTTGGACGACATGATAACACATGGCCTACAGAATCGTACAAGCTACCCACGAAAGAGGGCGCTTGACCCTGTTCCAGCGGCAGTTGCCGATCGACGAGAGCACGTTGCTGCTTTATCGAGGTACATTACTGCAGAAGATCAGTGGGTTTCTTATGATACCAGACGTAGTCTGGCACGGAAAACTACTACTTCTGCGGTGGAATTCGACGAGGTCAACGCCAGAAGTGCCTTCGGTGCCAAAGGGCTTACCGGATGCACGGCCGTTCTCATTGTATCTACAAGAGGTATCTTTGGTGCGCATATCTGGGAATTTCCCACCTTTGTGAACTCGGGCGGTCGAGAGCGACCTGATGACTTTTTCATTCAAGAGGGCGTCGACGTGCTCTTCAATGGAAGTCCGGAGGAAGGTGCGGGTGAAACTGACATCGGACTAGACCTCCTTACCATAGAGGGGGAGATGATGATGCATGGAACTAACCCAAGAATGTTTATTCTTACGCCATTTAGCAATGATCAGGATAGAGAGGGGGGAATACAGACGGTTCTTCGGTATGATAGGCAAGTGAACCTGCTTGCCGAAAGGTTGCAGCAGGAAGAGGGGTGGGTTCCTAGAATTGTAGGATACACTCGTCGCCGTCTCATTGATACTACTGGTGATCGGCTAAGTCGCGCAAGGCCATACCGTGGCTTTGGGGGGAGGGCTATCTTCGAATGGGACTTGAATGAACGTCTGGAGGAGGGAAATCGGATAGGGAAATGGAGACTGTGGCTTGAGGATGAAATGATCATGGAGCAAGAATTTCAGGTAGATGCAGAGAATTTAGATTCAGAGAGTAGCATATCTGAGAATACCGGATTTTAGTAAGCGACTCCCGCTGTGGTGGGCAGGAGATATCACACAGATCAGAAGTCGAATCCAGCGTGAGAGAAAGTGATGCCCTGTGTTGGATGACTTGTCACGATGTAATGCTGCAAGGATATTCTGATGCAGGAGCAGACTTGCTCGCTTGTCCGAAATCGACATACTATGTTCATAGATGTGAGCGGACATGAATGGAGCAGATACAGAAGGATGGAGGAGGATCAGAAAATGCGGTAGACAGACGCCCCATCAGTATACTCCATCACAGCCGAGCACCGAGCTTCTCAGTTTGGTTGATAACGTGCTAATCTTGATCCTAGGCGTTAGGGGGCTTATTGGGAATGTGGGAATGAAGTGGTACTAAATGTATTGGTCTACGTGTGAAGGAGCTGCAGACTAGACAGCCTGAGATGGAGCATCTAAAGAAGCTAAGCCGAGGTTGAGCCGACCAATGAAATCTCCTCATCAAGTCTAGCGTGATGCTCGTCATCAGCGCAACACAGAATAACTTATTGTACAGGAACAGAAGACGAAGACAGATTTCATAAGTCTGGAGCCCAGCTTGTATGTGCGTGAAGAATTGAGTTCATACCTCAAGACAGATTCTGCTCAAGATCGTAGATTTTCTGGGTTTTTCTGGTCTTCGTCTTCGTCTTCTTAATATAGTCATATTCTTCAGATACCACTCAGGATACGAGTCATGTGTATATTATGATTTAGTCAAAAGTGCATCTTTGTAAGATCCTGAAATCTATGGACAGGTATCGCTTTCTCGTACATGTGGTAAGTAATAATTGAACTAAGTATACTTCAATACAAGAGACGTCAGACGAGATGTCCAAGAAAGGGATGGAAAAGGGAAGAATGAAGATCTATATTGCAAAAATTCGAAATTGAATCATTCAATAAAGGCTCTATGGTCTAGAGGTATGATTCCTGCTTTGGGTAATGTCTGCAGGAGGCCCCGCGTTCGAATCGCGGTGGAGCCCTAAAATTTTTGCGTTTGTTTTTTAGGTTTTGAGCCTTTCATCCCTTCTTCTCGACGTCACAGCAACAAGAATGAAGCTCCTCCGTCTTTCTTGTCGCAGTCCTTTGCTATCCTCGGGTCAGCCTGTGTATTTGATGGATTGTGGATACTAATCTAGGGCCCGATGAGGCAAATCGAAATAAAGTATGGAACAGCACGACCCACTCCTTTTTTTAATGTAGGCTTATCTTTTTAGTGATACCTTCAGCAACTGTATAAGGTATTAAGAGATATACGTACAATTTTAAATGGGCCGTTGAGAATTCTTGAGACGGGACTAATCTCAACATGAACGTTGGATCTGATTTGGCATATTGCGATCTTGTATGATCAATAGCTAAACTTTTCTATCGATTGTACAGAGAGGAGAGAGGTATTCTTTTTGCACGTTCGCGTCTACTCCGTATGCGCTCAGACCCTCATGTTCTTGCCGAGGGAAGACTGTGCTCGATCATACTACTTCGAGCGTTGCTATCTATAATTTTCGTCTCACTGGGATCAGATCATGGTTCTATCGGAGGAAGTCTTTCGTAGCAGCAATTGATCGTATGCATGGACTCTCTCAATCCCGATTTGGCGTACTTGAAATTTTGCACAGGAAATTATGAAGGTCACTTTAACTTCTACAGAAACACTAAGAATCTGCACAACTGCTTGGTTACTCCCATAAGTGACGTATTCAGTAAAACCGAACGGCCCCTCACATACTTATGGGCCCATCGCCAAAGTATTGCCAGAATTCATATATAGGACTACTACCCAAAAGTCCAAAATTTCTAGCTAGGGGTCCAGCTTCCCGTTCCTGATGCCTCTTCTAAGCATGTCCTCAACAACGAGCATTCTCTGAAGGATGTCTTCGTCTAAAGGACTTTGTTCCTAAACAATGCTGTTGATTTTACGTTAGATCATGGCTTGTTTTTCCATCGCTCTGCCTGAGGGGATTCGGGGAAAGTGAATGTCTGGACAGAATTTCCACATCTTGGCACCTAGGTCTTCGCCACGCTGGTCTTCTCACTCCTGAGCTCGACTTTCTTGTGTCTACGTTGTAATTGTTACGTAGTATGTCCAAATTCAGAAATAATTCTGCAGATGCGAAGTGGATAACCGTGGTAAAAGTCAAATAGTAGATGAGACCTGCACTGTGGAGAGTGCGGGAGACATCCAGCAGACATTTCTAAGAAAGACGGACATCTCTATAACGAATATGATTCAGCAAATGGGACGAACTACATCAAATATCCAAATCCGAATGCCAAAGCGGCCCAGCAAATCCAACACCAAAGCTAGATAGCCTGGCCACTTGGCCAAGATACAGAAAATTATAACCTGGCGAACCAGACAGACATTATACACCGCGCCACATGCTCATCCTCTTCAACCTTGATTCAGCGGTCGACAGTGCTTACCAGTCAAGGTAGTTACACTTCAACGAGAACCCAGGCTTCAAGTTCCGCTGATCATCCATCGCACCCCAATGCTTCTCATCCTCCGGCTGGCCATTATCCCCAACGGAAGCCGGCTTCCACGACTCATCGAACGCCTCAAAGTAAAACACATTGACGCCCCACGCCAGCATGCCACACACGCTCTTGGCATAGTACTCGGCCGCCCACGAAGTATTCGCCTGCGCAGGCCCGTACGGCGTGCCGCCCGTCGTCGGCCACCCGGTCTCGCCATTCCAGATCTCGATGGAGGTGGTGGAGCCCGCCAGCTGCTGCACGTGCGAGATGGCCTGCGACATGTCGTCGAAGTAGACGTTGTGGGAGCCGGTCGCCTGGTCGACCGTCTCGCCCTGCCAGTAGGCGAAGGCGTTGATGAGCAGGATGTCGACGCCGCCGGTGACGAGGGCATCGGCGGTGCCGTCGGCGTACTTGTTCCAGGAGTCTGCCGTGCCGACCTTGATGTGCGAGGGGAGGCCGGATTTCACGGTGTTGATCTTTTGGAGGAGCTCGGCGCCGGTGAAGTTGCCTCGGTAGAGGGTCTCGGAGCCGACGGTGACAGCGTAGACGGCGGAGGCGTATTGGTTGGCGTATTGTTGAACGGCGCTGTTGTCGGCGTCGAAGGAAGAGGGCTCGTCGGGCCTGGAATGGATGGTAAGCGACGGTGTTTTGTAATTGATTCAAGATGAACCATGAGGTCCTTCGAAATCGGAAGGACGGAGGGAAAGGAACGGATGATTCTTACCAGATGCCTAGAATGACCTGGAACCCCCTGTTCTGTGCAGCAGGAAGAATCTGCTGAGCAAAGTTGCAGTCACTCGCTGAGTATCCACGGACGATCTTGCTGCCAGTCTGAGCAGAGATGGCATCAAAGTCCTTTTCATAATCGTTTGTGTATTTGCAGGCACCGCTTGGAAGCTTCGTGCCCAAAGCGAAACCGAGTTGAGCGCCCAGAGCATGGGGGTTTTGTGCGACGACAGTGAGAGGGCCTGCTGCCGCAAGAGCTGCTACAACAGTGGAGGCACGCATCGTGAAGATGGTATTAATGTAGGTGATTTGCGTGAAATAGGTTTTAAGAAACAAAAGGAGACGAATGGGACGCGACGATCTCAGTGACCCCCAAAGGAGAGACGATATGGTGTTGTACACCCAAAGGAATGTAAAGTAGTGCCAATGAAGCCACCACCAGTATAGACTATGGTCAGTAAAGAATGACGAGTGTTGAGAGAGTGTGTGTTGGTGTGTCGTTGAGATCCGCAAGTCGAGAATAGGGAGAAGGGGGAATACGCGCCCGCAAATTCGGTTTAGCGCGAAAACGGCAAGAAACAAAGCGAGCCGTGCAGCAAGTTAGGAACAGGAAAAGTGTGAACACAGGCAGCTACTTTTAGCTAGCGCCACATGTGCAGGCCTGCATAAACATCGAAACATCGAAATATCATGTTTCTACGGAATATCATCCACCTTTCGTGGCCAGCACGTGTGAACCCCTTCCCGAAGTTTCACTTTTATGTTGATCCTCATGACTTCTCAAGTTCCTCCCGCTGCGGTGGAATTGATCAGGAATAATTTGGTGACTCACTTTGAACCTTCTCCCAGTCTCACAGCTCCGTAGATTCCTCAGCTTCCGTAGAAACTTGATGTACGAGATTTGTATGTCATGCGACATGTAGATCCACCAACGTGCGTCTGGGCCTGACCTGCAGAATTTGCATTGGAACATCATCAGATTTCCATTTTCGTCATGGCGATTAAAGTGTGCACAAGGATCATGACCATCACAGCACGAAAGTCTCAAAGAGATGCGAGGATTGATAGAAAAATGTTCGACTCGTTATTCGCTCTACCCCGAGCTCGCAACCATGACTGTCACCCAACGAGAGTGGTATATTACAATTGTAGCTACCAAACCATCATCCCGCCTGCCTGTCATAGAATTGACCAATAAGCCAGCAAATTCCTCCTGCAGCACGTCATGAAGACGGTCGTGCGCTCGTGATGCTCCATTAAACTCCAGCGTGATGGTGTGTGGTATCATGAGAAAAATCCCCCTAAGTAGCAAAATCCTTGTAGAAGCGAGTGTAAAGAAGTGAAAAAAAAAAACAGCAGCGAATTGCAAAATCAGCTCGATGTTGGCAAGAACAGGAAATTTCCAGTGAATTGATGTTATTAGAGGAGTAACATCGGGGTAGAGTTTTCGGATAGAGTTTTTGAAGAGTAGAGAGATGTGGAGTAACTCTGGTGCAGTATTACAACCACTGAACTCGTCACTGTTGTCGCTTGATGTCGCACGATTAACCTTTCACTCGAGATAACCCAGAGGTTTCTGTTTTTGGAGCATTGGTATGCAGGAGCGTTGCTTTTGATCAGTTGCCACGCATGATCTCGTCGATGCCTCCGATTGGCATGATGCTGACGTCCAATTTGTCCATGGGTCTCGGCTCCATGATAGTATTGGCGCGGCCACCAAAGATCTTGCGTTCCTCCTCAATCTCAATTTCCATGCTGCTGGGCCTCCTCCTGATCAGGATCGCCTGGTTGATGCTTGAGGTGATTGACGGAGTCGCTGAAAACTCGGAGGTTGCTGAGAATTCGGTCGTTGCGGAAAGGTTGGGAGAGGTGACGAGATGCCCCTTGTCCGAGTGGGATGTAGCTGGGAACGAGGTAGGTTCGACAAAGCTGGAGGAGGACGAGAGTGGGGACTTGGAAGTGGTGGAGGCACGAGAGGAAGGCTTCGAGGAGCCAGGAGTGAAGACCGTGCGGATACGGTGAAGTTGCTCAGTGAACATGCGTGGACCATGCATCTTGACGGTATTGACTCAATCGAAGATAGATTGGTGGATTTTGAGGATTTGCAGGGTTCAAGTCAAGGGACAGATTGCTTTGCGTAGACTTATAGCAGTCAATGCGGAGAACCAAAAGGCGGGAATTTAAAAGTTATATGGCTGGGCAAGTTGGCACCTGAGAAGTACCAGAATTGAAGTGACTTGGAAGGAGCGTAGGATTGCAGGCTCAGCTCTGCGTGAGGTAGATGATGAAGAGAATGATCGTGTGACCAAGAAAGATCCAACAAGCAAACGAATTCCAAGGTCGATAGGGCTTGGCCTTTGATAAGGAAACAGTGACCGATGCAGGTGACCAGACGCACTGTGAGAAGGGAAGGTAGAGTATCGAGATGGTTACCCAGGCCCACCAAGAAGTGAATGGGGGGAATTGCTCAAGAGCGGTGCACACAACACTCAGAGTGGGCAGTCGTCAAGCCCGCCTAATATTCCAGATGACCCCAACGGAATGGCGCTCGCTGATATGTATATTAAGGGCGGGCGGAGAAGGATGAGCGGGACAGCTGTTCAGCCAGGACACTTGGACGCGCATTTCATCATTCTTTCAACCACTCACCTTACATTCATTGCGCCAGCTTCGGAAAGCGCGTGCACATCATTGCCCGACCCAAGCATTGGCCTGACTGATTGCGGCAGGTGGAGGTTACGAATGTGTGGAAGGCGGAGCCCCTGGCCCATGGAAG